ATATAACTACAGAAGCAAGAATTTTCCTACAGGACTTCTCATTAATAAAAATACAACAATTTGTATAACTCCTACAAATATAATACAGGTTTGTGGCGGATTTCCTTATGCCAAAGCGAATTCACATCGACTGCTTTACAACTACGCTTTTTGCTGCTTTTATTTTCTGCTTTCGCTTTTCGCTTTGTCGTGGTTAATTGTGGGCTTTGTTTAATTATCGCTGAAATTCATTTTATTGCAAATAACTTTGTACACATTTACAATTTAACAAAAAATGAACGAGCAGATTTCAAAAGTTACTCATTTCCAGGAGGCATTTAAATGAATCGAGCAGCAATCGCTGCGGAAGATAAAGTATGGCGTTATTAGGAAAATTTCAACTCGGCTTGTATTGAAGCGCCTTACTTATTTGTTGTAGCAGATGACATATTTTGAATAAGAAGTAGTAAAGACGCGCTACTCGTTTGCCGGAAAAATGTTTCTCTGAAAAATTTCATGTTATCGCAAGAAAATTTATGGAAAAAACTTATTCACAAAAGCAAGCATTTGTAATTTTTATGATAATTAGAATACAACATTTAAAGCACTGAAAAAAGCTTTTAAGCAAAGCTAAGTAAATTTTTGTGTAACCTGTCTATTAAACGTGAATTCTGAGAATTCAAAAGAGAGAGAGAGAGAGAGAAATATGTTTTTTTTAAAGTATACCCATCGAAATATGGAGCAAATTAAAAATATATTTTGCTAGGCTTGCAAATAATGCATTAAAAAATAATTGAGGTAACATTTTAGTTACATTTTTTTTTTATAATCCCAAATACGGGATTAAAGTTAAAAAAAAATTAAATCTTAAACATATAATTAAGAACTTTCAAAAAAAAAGAATTTTTTTAGAATTAACATTTTTCACATTCATTGAAATCAAAAAATTAATATTTTCGATAGTCAATTTTTAATCCCAAAAACCGTGAATTAAAAATTAAAATTAAATTCTATTTTAAACCAAGATTAAATTTAAAATTAATTTTTTAATTTTAGTCCAAAATTGTTTGAATTTTTTAAAATTTTTAATTTACGTAAGTGAAAAAATTTAAATCCCAAGAATGAAATAAAAAAATTCAAATTTAGTTTTTTATTCCCAATAACATTCAACTTATTAAAATGCAATAATTTCGAAATTTCAAGAACAAAATTATTTAAAACAAAAAATGTTTGGATTTCGCAGAAATTATATGAAAAGTTGAAGAAATAAAAACAATTTTATTATCCAACTTGCGTTTCATACATTAAATTTTCCTTTATTTCTATATGAATGAAATATAAAACAAATTTTTTGTTTCCTTGAAACCTATTTACGACCGACAGAGTTTGAAAAAATTATCGGAAAATAATAGAGAAAAAAAATTCAAATATAATTATTTATATTATTTATTTATTTAGTAATTATACAATATGAAATCATAATAATTTGAAACACAATTGCCTTCTTTCTAATTACCAATTATTTGTCATAGCGTATGATTAACTTTTCACATTCTCTGTAGAAGCTTTGTATAATATATGGTAAACCTGTTAAAGACACTAAGACTTAACTTTTTTTATATATAACTGGAAATCAGTTTCTCACCTGCACCTTAAGCGTATGACACTTTTATTTAAAACGTTCAAATCACAAAATGGTCCACCACGGCGTATAAGTAATTATTTTCGCACAAAACCCTTAGAAACAGAATATTCTTTAAAATACAAATAAAATGTAATGATTAAACTTTCTGCTGCAGGAATAAATGCTTTACGACTTCCTCGTTCCTTAACTCCTTTCACTTTAGCCAACACTCCACCCACTTAACTAAAAGCAGCTAGCAAATATTTGTGTGTCTTTTGTAGCGCCCGCACACTTTTAATTCTAGTTTTTGTTTCAAAGCTGGCATTAAGTGCAGACAAATCCAATTCAACTGATACTCGTAAACCGACTCACTTACTTCGTGTTGTATAAATATTTTCTTAGGAAATAAACCAATAAGACACCAACACACGCACACTAACTAACAACAGTCACTTACACATATACATATATATATATAACTAAGCTGAAAACTAAGATAGAAGTCTGCGCGCCACTACTAACAAACATTTGTAGCATTTGTAGCACATCTGACCTATTAGGGATTTGTTTTTGAAAGTGCACAGCAGCATAGTCGAGCGATTCCCTTGCACTCGAGCAGAAGCAGCAGATAGCGAATGGCTGAGCGGATGTACAAGCTTAAATAAACTTTGCGCAGCGTTGACAAGCATTAAAGTGTGCGCAGAGGTACTCTGCATATATGTATGTGCGATTATGTGTCTGTCAACGCCAACGCGCGATTGTGTGGAACGACAGGCAATAAGCAATGTGCCATACATCCTACTCAACGGCAGCCGCAGGAGGCGCGCAGATAAACAAACAAACTGGCTGTGTTACAGCGTTTGGGGGGTTGCGGTGGTAACGTACACGGCCAACGCCAATCATTAAAATGTGACAGCAAGCGATTGAAAGCAGAAGAAGCAGATATGCGCAAAATGAGCAAAAATAAACAGCGAATTCAATTGTTTATCATGTCGTAAAGGATATGCTCACACTTTGCTCAAGTTTGTGCTGCGCTGCCGTCGCTGTAAATAGTTGTAGTAAAGCTGAAAGTGGGTATAGAATGGGGGAAAATTAAAATAGAGCTTAAAGCTATTTACGTCTGCTGGTCGATGGCGTTGCTTTATTGTAAGTTGTAGAAAAAATTTAATGAAGGCAAATTTTCCAAAAGACCAGTTAACTGCGGTGTGATAGATTAAATTTAATGATAGCCGCTAGCGAGCTGAATAGGGGATTATTGAACATATCTACAAATTATTAAGTTCTAAAGGAAAGAGGTAATAAATTAAAACAAAATATAAATAAATAATTTTCCATCACTTTGGAATGAAGCATAATTAAAAAAATTATGAAAACCATATTTAATTGATATAAAATCTTATTAAGTAGAAACTTTTGTAAGTTATGTAATTTCTACGTGATTCTTAGTTGTTTGATGCTGCTGTATCATGAATATCTAAGCTTGATAAGTTCATAAAATCCGCTCTTGGTGATATTGTTTAATTTAAGAGGAAAAGTGATCTCGGGGTGACCAGTTAATATCGTTTCTTTTCGCTTTCACTTTTAGCTACAAAGATTTGAGAATTTTTACCACAAAGCAATGCAAAGTTGAAGGAGAGACAAAAATTGGTCGTTTCTGGCCTGCCGAAATTTAATTTTTAATCAGTTCGAAAACCTTTAGGTCAAGGTAAACAAAATCTGCCGAAAAAATGTGATAGTGACATTTGTCTCCGAGTAATCACTCAAGCAAGTTCAAGAAAAACGTGTTTAAAGATAAGCAGATAAAACGAATTGAACTGGCTGGTTACTCTTTAGAGGGCTATAACTCAAATACAATTTCAGATATCTGATTTAAAATCTAAGTGTGTTATTTTGAAAGGCATAACCTCTTATCGAAATATGAAAATAATCGATTATTTTTAATTTCACACTATGTTCGCCCCTTACTCCCCTTATAGAGCTAGCTTGCCGTACTTTTGCATTCATTTCTTAAGCAGCATATATTGAGTAAACATTTTTATATGCTTTTGTAAAATCGTTGTATCGACAGTAATGGCGTTGTGGTTACTTTTTAACTGGTTTCTAACTGGTTATAATTTTACTAATTGACTATTTAAATACTACCTTTCTGAATAATTTACAGTTTCTTTTTAATCAATTTGCCATAATGCATTTTAGGTTATTGAATAAAATTTTATGTTTTTCAAAATTTTGTGATTGTTTCAGGTTTTTCCTTTACTGATAGTATTTGCTTACATTTTCTGACTTTAAACAATTTCTGCAGATTTCTCGTTTACTGAAGTTCAATCAAATATAAATCTTTTGAAAAGATCACAGTTTAAGTTATTTTACCAGAGCATTTAGTAAACGAGCATAATATATACAACAAATAATGCAATAGTTTTGTTTTTAATTAATTAAATAATGTATTAGAAGGATATATATAATTATAATAACTAATTATGAATAACTAATTGTATTTTTTATACAGTGAAGTGATAGAAATAGACTCGAATTTAACATTAAGAAATATGAACTTTACGTAATATGTTGGTAATAAAGTGCGTATGAGTAACATTGGGACATGTCAGAATGTGCTGTGTGTGTAATATATAACTAGTAATATATAAAAATATGCATTATACATACGCACCATAAATTACTGAATTATTATTGCAATTATTTAAATTTTTAACCTTCAATCAGACAGGTGAGTTTCAGCATTGCAAAACATACATATATACTCACTGTTAATCCTAGTCTCCAAAAAATTGTACTTAAATTTCACACAGTTCGTTTTGTTTTAAATCTTTTGTGTCTTAAATGCACCATAAGTCTTTCTCACCATTACTTGCCGCTCCTGCACCTTCTCAAATAAGTGTTGTACAATTTTTTCGTTTTATTTTCTATTGTAATTAAGTAAAAAGTGGATACAAAAGTAAACTAATTGAGTTACTAAAAAAAAACTATTACAAAAAAAAAATCAGAAAAACAACAATTTGTAGAACGAAACGTTATACAGCAAGGTAGCAAAACAAATTTTGCAACCAATTAATTGAAACACATTTCCAAATAAACAGTAGACGCCAACTATGTGTAGAAACAGCAATCAAACGCAAATTATAAATTCATAGCAATATGAATATTGAGTGGCAAATAGCGCAATGTAAATTAAACTACAATACATTTTATTTTCATATAAAAAACCAACAAAGAAAATAAATTAAAGCAACTATAACTTATAAACACCACAGCAATTAGTTACAAACAGCAAAGTTTAATTACAACAAAAAAAAAACTGATAATAATTAAAAGCAAAAAAGAACTAAAAACTCAACTTGAACCATTCCTTCCTTCCTTCCTTACATTCAAATTGCAGTCAGAATAATGGGCATGGACGATAAATTGCATCTGAAAATGTTCGAAGATAATTTGGCGCTCATTGATACGCCGCTCATAGCATCAGCGACGAGCACCCACTACCCGGGCACGGTATCCACCTCACTGCACACGCTGCACGGCATACTCTTGTACCCGTTCAATGTAAGCGATTTCCAGCCGCGTCACACAGCGCCCGCCGGGCACGAGTCCAGCGCACTGGATGTCATCGACACCGGCAACTCGTACGGCTACGAACCGGGCAATGGACACAGCAGCGGCGGAGGCCATGGCCACAGTCATAGCGGTGGCGGCGTTTACTACCAAAGTATGTGTAAATGTTTAACTAACCAAAATGCAAACAAAACATATGAAATAGAGTAACAGTGCATAGTAAGAACATGCAAAAAAGAGAGGAGAATCGGCAAATTACGCCAAAAAGTATGCAACAAAAAGCGTAATATAATAGGCGAAGTAGGGCAGTAAGCGCTTAGAGTTTAGCTGGAGTGAATTGTTAGCGAAACCGCTTTCTTTGTTGTAGCATTAATGTATGTATGTATGTATGTGGATGTGTGGGTGATGCGCGTGTGTAAGCTTAGGTAAGTGCTATGGTAATTGGCACCAGTTTATGGTAAAAAGAAGAAGCGTGGAAGAGTGGCGGTGCAATTTAATGGAAAAAAAGAATAATTATAAAAAAAATCATTTGTATTCTTATGCAATGTACAAAGTGTTTAATTCACCAAGTCTCTTAATTTTATTTTTTAAATATTTTCTATTTTTCTTTTTAAATATATGAGTAGTTTCAAACTCAGGCGTTAGGCAAAAAAAAAATTTTTTTTTTAATATCTATTATTTATATATTTTTTTCAGTTTATTTTTACTATTTTTCTAAATAATTTTAATTTCCGCCAACGCTTCTTATGTGACCAATGGCCACCATGCCCACGCAATACTCGACCAGAAATATTTTGAGTTGTGAGAAATATGCAAAACATTACAACAAAACGCAACAGCAAATACTCAAAAACAACTACAAGCAAACCGAATATGGTTGTAGCCTACAAAACTACTTACTCTAAATGTCGACAACTAAGCAATCAACACAAAAAAACAAACGCATAAAAAAACTAGCTGAAAATTTAGACAACGTCTAAAAAACGTGCGATAAAGATCGCAGTGAAAATTTTAGCGCTTTGTCAGTTTATTTTTTGTTTTTGTAAAGTTTTAAATTCTTTTCAACTAAGACAATTTGTTTCGATTTCGATTACATTTACAATTTCTTCCTGTTCATTATTAAAACTATTTATAAACCTTAACTAAAATGAAAAACAAAAACCAAAAAACAACAACATTTTTGTATTAAATAGCAAAAACTAATTAAAAGATGACAAGACAATTTTTTCAACTTTCGAATTTGTTACATAAAAAAATTCAATTTTTTCCGCACTCTTACAAATTTTTTATTCTACGCACCGTTTTACAGCAACAAACATAAATTGCTAAAACAAAATTTATATACATATATATCTCTATAAATATTTAAATATACAAATTATGAAATGGGAATTCTAATATTTTTCAAAATTTCATTGCAACTCTGTTACGTTCATTATTATGTTCATTCGTGTTCAACCAAAAAACAAAAAAAAAAATATTTACATACTTACATATGTATTTGTTACATACAAAACCACCAAACGTCTCATGTTTCATACAATTAACGCAATCAATGTTGCAACAACAATTATTTACGAATCAATCAATTCAAATTCAACTCAACCATTTTAATGCTAAATACATAACTATAAATTATATTTTGGTTTCAATTCATTTGATTTGACCTTTTGGTGCCTCTACGTCACTACTAGCGTTTTATGTAGGTCCAGGTGTGTACATAGCAAAAACATGATTTTCATACTTTACATACATGCATATGTATTCTGTACACTCACACATGCATACCAAATTGCTACCACATAATAATGTTTACATTCAACATTGGTGCATACATACATACATAAATACAAGGAATTCAACGATTTTTTGTCATTTGCTGCATTTTCATCGCCTTCAATTCTTTTATTTGAAATTAATTGAAATTTTATGTTTGCCCCCCTCGCCGTTGTTGGTTTGTACTGCAAAAAATTTATACCAGCTTAATTTTTGCTTTAGCTTTTTTACTTTTCCTCCTCGATTATGTGTGTGTGTGTGTTAATTATTTTGCGTGCTCATTATTGATTTATGGTATCTTTTTTATTTAATGGTGTTTTTTCTGATTACTTATGGCGCAGTTAGCGGAAGGTCTAAGATTCTAGCTACTGTGGTACGCAATAAAAAACAATGAAAGCAAATGCAAAAGTGTTATTTTATATATTTATGTATATGCTAATTTTGTGGTTTGGGTTGCTCAGATGCACAAGTAAAAAAATTTCAAGCACTCTTCATGAAAAATTTGTAATTCTCTTAAAAAAAAACAATCACTGCCAAATATAATTTATTTATTTTTCTATCATTATTATAATCTTGTCTAGAAAATGAACTCAAGCGCTAAGGGTAGAGCTTCCAGGGAAACATTTTTGATATTAACATTATTTACTTTACTAACAATAGTTTATACGTCTATTGAATCGAAGCATTTAAATAATTAAAAATATACTACTTTATTCTCAACAAATATTAAAAAATCAAAAATTAGTTCCATAATCATCAAACATCTTGAAGTACCCGTAATATTCCTTTCACATATATCTGAAAGTGATACATATCACATAATTTGGACGATAAAGGATTATGGAAAAAAAAATGAATGATGAACACTCGAGAAAAGTTTTGAGAGCCTTTTATTCAAAAATTTACAAAGGGTTAGATTCTCGAAATAACAGTCCATGGCCGAATAAAATCCAGTTCAATTCCGGTAACGTACATTCGGCTCTTGTGCGGCTCGCCTAATTTGGTTGCAAGACGGTGAAGGACACATTTTAACATTTTTGTTAACAACTTTTGTTGTATTTGCATACACATATAAAAAAACAATAACAAGGCTGGCGGGTAGTGGCTCGATAAAGTCAATTACCCATATCAATAGTAGCGTAAAGCTAAAATGCAGGTGGTTGAATTTACCATTAAAAAGTTATAAAATACGTTGGCATTGAATAGAGTTTTTGACAATAATTATTTTTTTTATCTAGATGTCCCCTTGAACATTTTACTATTTTGCATTTTTGTCAAGTCTTTACTTTGCCATCAAAGATTAGGTACTACTGTTTCTATACAAAACTTTGAACGGACTAGTTTCTACATATACCATACATATCTTTAGTTCATTCCTTATGTTCTGCATTTCTTTATTGACGCTAAGAGTCAATCGAAGTTAGAAGGAATCGAAGTTTTACTCACTTTGAGTTAATAAAGAAAAATAAATGTTTGGCTAACTTTGGTATAAGAGCGCAGAAAATTAGCTTATTTCACTCAAAATTATTTAAGAAATGTCAAACCATAAAATTTTAGCATAGAAACTTCATAAAAACATAGCTAACTTAGAATATAGAATTTAAAAATTTTCGTGTACATATATTCTTACTTAAGCCCTAGGAAATGTTCACTTGCTTTTAAGTGATGACTACTCATTTTTCTTCTTATTTTCTAATGAAATGTATCAAACATATATTCTTTACATTTTCGCAAACAAATGTTTGATGGGCTTTTTTGTTTTCTAAGCTGTCATACTTTTTATTATCAAAAACTTATGGTAATTTTTGTTTAGTGAAAACTTAGAACAGAACACACTTTTTACATCCAATGTTTTTAATGGCCTGATATATAGAGAGCTCGAACTATGGTGTGTCACAGTTCTTTTTAAACCCATAAAAATATTTATTAATCAATGTGTCGATCTAATAATAAAACCTTGCAAAGTTGTTAGAACCTTAGCGAAAACCCTTGTAGTGCTGCTAGAAACAATGGTGTGCAATTATATTCCCATGAAATCGAATAAAAAATAATTATGAGACTTTTTTTTACTTATTTTTTATTTATATTTCGTAAATTGAGTTTTTACTGACATTTCCTTTGATTTGAATTTTTTCTTATATCTACTTAATTTTTAAATTTGTTTCAAATATGTAATCTATGTGTAATAAACTAAGTAAATTAAGATAAATGAATACGCTGCCCACTTTGTATAAACAATTAACGCGTTTTTGAGTGTTTAGCGGTGAGCAGGATGTACGCTTTACCATATGAAAAAAAAAACCGTCATAAGAAATTGAATATTAAATTGTGTTATTATTTTCAGTTTCATAAAAAAAGAATGAAATAAGTAAGCAAATATGTTGTTATTTTATAGAAATAGTTATGCGAAGGTGTAAACGTTTATATATTATTTTATTCTTTTATTTCTTTTAAATAATTTCTTGCTGAAAAACAGGGTTAGTACTTTGAAAGGCTAATAATAAATTAAATACTTATAGAATGTATTAATATTATATTTAATTTTAAGCCTTAAAAAGGACTAACCCTGTTTTTCAGCAAGATATTATTTAAAAGAAATAATAGCAATAAACCCTATTTTCAATAATTTTTTTTCTTTTAAAAATATAACATTTATTCAAACTTTTTATTATTCCGAGGATACATATTTAATAAACATTTTTATTCAAAACTCGGTCATTACAACGTCATTTCCGGCAGTCGCTCGAAAAAATCATCCTTGCTCATTGACAACAGAATCTCTGACAGCGTCATCAAAAGTAAAAAAAAAAAAAAATACGTGTTTGAACTAAGACCATTAACTAGAAAAAACAAATAAAGTTAAAATTGTATTTTTGGCAGAGGTTTTTACAAACATGCAAATTTTGGTGAACATTTTTCGACGTTTTTTGTTTTTTAAAAGTTGTAATTGAAAAAAAAAAATCCTGCGCGGCAAGACCTTGTAAATTATATCTCGAAAGCCTTTGTAAAATTTCTTTAAGAGCGGTTGAATAGTTCGTAAGAAATCTTGACAGCCAACTTTGAAAACACAGCTTCGAGAAAAACGCGTTTAAAGCTTTAAGTGACTATATACAATAGCTGACCTGGAGTGCGCACCTTTTCAAAGCTGTATCTCCAAATTTTTTATTTATTATATATTATATTTTAGAGATGTTATGGAATTAAATGAGACAATAAATAATTTTTTTTTTTTTGAAACCGTGAAACGTTAAATATGGTTATAATTGCAATTTTGACACTGATGCCTTCCAAACTTCTTGTGAATTCAGCATTTCATTAGCTCGTCTGAGAACATTTTAATAACAGCAAATTAAGCGAATTAAGGCTTTTATAATAGAT